CACACACCATGCTGCACTTACAATGACTGTACTATTACTGACTCACACACACCACGCTGCACTTACACTGTACTATTACTGACTCGCACACACCATGCTGCACTTACACTGACTGCACTATTACTGACTCACACACACCATGCTGCACTTACAATGACTGTACTATTACTGACTCACACACACCATGCTGCACTTACACTGACTGCACTATTACTGACTCACACACACCACGCTGCACTTACAATGACTGTACTATTACTGACTCACACACACCATGCTGCACTTACAATGACTGTACTATTACTGACTCACACACACCACGCTGCACTTACGCTGTACTATTACTGACTCACACACAACACGCTGCACTATTACTGACTCACACACACCATGCTGCACTTACAATGACTGTACTATTACTGACTCACACACACCACGCTGCACTTACAATGACTGTTAGTGCAGTCATTGTAAGTGCAGCGTAGTGTGTGTGAGTCAGTAATATATTACTGACTCACACACACCATGCTGCACTTACAATGACTGTACTATTACTGACTCACACACACCACGCTGCACTTACAATGACTGCACTATTACTGACTCACACACACCACGCTGCACTTACAATGACTGTACTATTACTGACTCACACACACCACGCTGCACTTACAATGACTGTACCACTACCGACTTGCACACACCATGCTGCACTTACACTGACTGTACTATTACTGACTCACACACCATGCTGCACTTACACTGTACTATTACTGACTCGCACACACCACGCTGCACTTACACTGTACTATTACTGACTCATACACACCACGCTGCACTTATGCTGTACTATTACTGACTCACACACACCACGCTGCACTTACACTGTACTATTACTGACTCACACACCACGCTGCACTTACACTGTACTATTACTGACTCATACACACCACGCTGCACTTACGCTGTACTATTACTGACTCACACACACCACGCTGCACTTACGCTGTACTATTACTGACACACACACACACCACGCTGCACTTACGCTGTACTATTACTGACTCACACACACCGCGCTGCACTTACGCTGTACTATAACTGACTCACACACACCGTGCGCTGCAATGCTTACCATGTGGCCGTACGATCTGGATTCGATCGAGGATGGCCCCCTGTAGGAAAGCTCCTTCATGTAGTCATTGTACGTCTGCAACAATAACAATGACAAGAAGCCGGCGTCACTCCACCATCGCGTCACTCGTTCCGCTCCAGATGCTCTCCGCCACACATCAGCCCGCGCACCGTTCAGACTAAAGTCTAGCGCAGACTTGCGACTTTCTCATGCAACTCAGCTGCGATTCTAGAATCGCAGCCGAGTTGCATGAGAAAGTCGCAAGTCTGCGGGGGAATGTGCAACTGCAACTCGTAGCGAATCCGGTCGCTTGCAATGAGTTGCAAGAAATCAAACAGGTTTGATTTTCAGCAACTCGTCGCTCGCAAACGCTTCGAAATCGCATGTGTGCGGGTAATATAAGTCATGGAAAGACAAAAAGACGATGGAAAGAAGCGACTGCTGTTAACAGTAGTCGCTTGCATCCGCACACACGGTGAAGCGTGCGACCGATCGCTTGCTGCTGCTAGTCTGCGCTAGGCTTAAAGCGGCAGTGTCTAACGCATCAGGGGTCCCACGCGCTCGCAAAACATCCGCCGGTAAACGCCACGGTGCACACAACCCACGACCGCAGCTCTGTCTACGCTACGCCGACACGCTCTCGGCACACGCCAGCCCACGCACCGTTCCCCGCACCCGACTCGTGAGTAAACGCATACGCCTTAAATTCATACGATGACGAGCGGTTCGCAGATTACACGTGCCTCACTCCTTGCAATCACAACACACTACACAGGTTTGGCGGACCGGGAAATGCAAGCAGGCTGCTGTGACAGGTGGCAACCAGGTAACACCAACTTAAAACCTGCGTAAATACATGTCGATACATACTTTTCCAGGTCACCCACCGGCAAGAAAGTGTGTTCACCAGCTGGAGTTCAATCTCTGAGTCCCACTCGGCCACACGCCATGCACATAATATACGACACTCCTGCACCATTATACCACAACCTCCATGCATACATCTCACTCCACTTACCACCCCCCACCCCCACCTCACCTTGCAAATAACACCCTAACTCCTTCTGTACTACCATACCGCACTTACACTGCACAAATACACACTCCTTCTCCTGCAACCACGGAACACGTCCCTCCTCATCCCTAGTACACATTTCCTTATGGGAACACCACCTTCCCACCCAACCACGCCACACATCGATGTATCGGTGACCGTGTAATCTGCGAACGCTCCCGTGTAAGCACACCTCCGGTTTTCGGGGGAAGCCTCGCCCTCGAGCCATCGGTGGCGCCATCTACACAATAAAAACAAACGACGCTGAATCAAGCGCGAGGAACGACTCCGGGGAAACTTGCGCGAGCGCGTGCGCCGACAGCACAAGATGGATATCCGTGTGGGGAACGCATGCACGCAGGGTCACGCACGCACGCGGGGCCAAGCACGCACGCGATATGGTCGATCACGCGCGGGCCCTGGGCCATGCACGCGCGCACGCTCGCGCATACCTACCCCGTTCAGCATTGTCTCCCGGCGCACTCCAAACCTTGGCATGCCTCTGCAATGAACAACGAGAAGTTGTGATGTCGACGGACGAGTCACTGATGCGAGCGCATGTGCAGCACGCAGGTGCGGTAACGCTACACATACGCAAGCGCATGCACGAGCGAACTTCAAAACGCCAGAAAAGGTTTACGCCTCGTTATCATTTAGACGGTAGATTAAAGGGCATAAATTATGGCTTATTTAGGTTATATTAATACATCATTACTTACTTATAACGAGGCTAAACTATGCGAACGATCGGGTTCTACCGGAGAATAAAAAGAATTAAAGAATAAATAACAATGTTGCTTGGCACGATTTTTACCACGATTTTTACCGCTAAAGATTGTACTGGACATACATCTGCACCCTATTACATGCATTCGAGCTCAATATTTGTCCCTTCAGAAAACCAGTATAAAAACCAAGGTGAATGGTTAGGGTTAAACATTTACCTGCATATTTCAAGTCCTCCTATCAAAAACTAGTATAACCTCAACTAAAGCTGAGAGGGTCTGTGTCCCCCGGGGTACTGCCGGAATGTACCCTGGTACTATCTAATATGCCGGACCGTACCTCGCCTACTCCACTAACGAGTCTAGGGAGTCGCCTACGCCTACTCCCTAACCCTAACCCTAACCCTAACCATATCAAATAGTGACCAGGGTATGTTCCGGTATACCGGACCGTACCCAGGGTACGTTCAGGCAGTACCCTGGGGGACATAGACCCTATGAGCTCAACTAAACAGCTTTGTTTGACTGTAAGAGTGCGTTTGCATATGTGAATTATAGAAAATACCAGCTGAAAGCCATCTCACAAATAGTATCATTCAACTACACAACTAGCTAGAGTTTATCGCCGAGCTTTGCTGTTCAGTGATAGTAAACTGCTGGGTAGCCATGTAACTATACACACGGGGAGCTACCGCCCGTGGCTAGCTAAAACGCGTGTACTTACCCTCTGTCCCTGCGCGGATCCTTGAACATGCCTGGCGGTGGTCGGCCTTCATAAAATAAATTCAGATGGTTAAACGTGCATGGCAAATCGACAACAGCGAGGTGAAGGGCACCCCTCTCCCAAATAAAATAGAGAATAGAATCTCTAGTGAAAATTTAACGGGGAATATCATATATTGAGAGCATGAACAGGCAAAGAGCATATGCACATCAGTGTACAGTGCAGGAGCATCCAGTGAAAAAGAACACTCAGGGTGAGTGGGAGGGTACATTTAGAGGGAGAGGGAGGAAACATTCAGGGTGAGTGGGAGGAAACATTCAAGGCGAATAGGAGGTAACACTCAGAGGGAGTGGGAGAGAACAATCAGAGGGAGTGGGAGGGAACATTCAGGGTGAGTGGGAGGAAACATTCAAGGCGAACACTCAGAGGGAGTGGGAGAGAACAATCAGGGAACATTCAGGGAGGAGTAGGAACACCCACAATGAGAGGAGAGAGAGCACGATTACGTGTGGCTGGGCACATTATGAGGGCAAGGCAGCATTTGGAAGATCTAGACGTAGAACATCTTCTTTTTACAAAATTATGCGCTCATCTACGTGCTTCCCTACGACTCGTAACCGCGGCAACCTTCCGCCATTGCCTCGAACCGGGTACGAGCAATCACGACCCGGCCTGCTGCACCTAGCACCGCAAGGTCATCATACAATCATTCGCATCCTCTACCAGCGTTAACCTGCATCGACACGAGCAAGGCGCGCCGCCACACAGAAATTCATCAAAAACACCGCCTCGCTGACGAAAATCACTGTCCTTCCATAGAACCATGCTTATAATGCACCAAAATAGCTTAGAATGCACCAAATTGCACCATTTTTTCAAAAATTTCCCACCCGCGGTGCTCGCTTTGCTAGGACCTCGAAACGCACACACCCCAAAAAAATTTACCACCTTACAGATCTTTTCGGCCAGGGGAAACACTGCTCTACTCATAGAATAAATTCTACATAGCGCAGAATAAGCCTAGAAGATTCCAGTTCATGTCATCGCCGTGGCGTTGCCGTTTCCGTCGCAGCCATCTACCGCTAGGGAGCGCTCAGACGATCGCGAATCAACCACGAGTCTGCTGTCTACGGACGCTCGCGAAAAACGCGCGAGGGGTCCGCCTGAGACGGGACACGGCGCGTCATGCGGAGGGAAGCACGTAGCGCGCACCGAGGAGCTAAATATAACAAGGAGAGGAAGCGCCGCCATATCTGGCCCAAATCTTTGCCATATTTGGTCATATTGGCCTAGAACACATTAGTGTTCTATTGTCTCTGGGTTCGGGTCTGCACAGCCGTTTCAGCTGATTATGGTCCATAGATGGCGTCCTTGAGGCGAAAAGCACACAGCCAATCTGCTTCCTCTCCTTGTTATATTTAGCTCCTTGGCGCGCATGAGCGAGACAACAGAGAGAATGAAGGAAGGTGGAGGTAGAAACCTTCACGCTGCTGCGCGCCGTAGCCTCCCCTCCTCGGTGGGCCGCGGTCGTACTCCCTGCCTCCTCCTCGATGCAGCCTACAACATCACACACAGAAGAAGCTTTACAACACGCGCGCGAGAGAGAGAGAGAGAGAGAGAGAGAGAGTGATAGAGGGTGAGAGAGATAGAGGGTGAGAGAGAGAGAGAGAGTGAAAGATAAAGAAGAGAGAGAAAGAAAAGAAGAGA